AATGCCGGTTGTCGCAATATTGGTGGGGCCATTATTTGATTAAAATTGATCGCGTGTGCAACTGCTAATCTTTTAATGACTTCTGCTACCATCAATGATAAACTGTATTTCTAACGTCGGACTGTTTGTGTTAGCACTTTGGATGGCTACCATATGCTTTTAATGCGAGTGTATGCTAAATTTGCTGAGAGAACAGTTTGTCAGTCTTTCCACAATGGACTGTCATAAACATGCTGTGTGTTTTTCGTTGGCACAGGAGCGGAGCAAAGATGGGGGTGACTCGTTTGCTATGAAGCTGAAATTAAAATTACCAGATTACCAGATGACTGACAACACATAAGGAAAACAAGTGGATCGATACTGACAGGACTAGAACACTTAACCACCAATTCCACCCCAACCAAATCAGTGGGCTGATAGCAAAGGTTGGTGACGTGATACGTATAATCTCGGCTAAAGGCCACGCTAGAATCCAACAAGACAGCAACGACGAGAAATGACTGAATGGTTTCCCGTCCTCTTTTCCCTCATCCTTCCCTACTTCTTCCCGATACACTATGAGTTTAATCCCCCACACTATCCCACAAAGAGCTCTTGAGTTCGGTACCCAACATGCCACAACAATCCTCATCGCCAAACATTTGGATCTCAAAGCGAGAGCTGGGTGTTCCGGGTATATGGTATTTACGTACACCGGAGCCTAGCTACCAACCCAAACCGACGCAACCGGATCTCACACTAACAAACGACGAATAGTATAACTTTGAGGCTTCACCTAACACTTCCCACACATATCCACGACATGACTAACACGTTCTTATTGCAGGAAGACAACTATAAGACTACTAAGGTCACATGCGAAATACTTTCACATTTCGGATCTATCCAAAACCCAAAACTGTTTTCAGTACTTTTTGGCAAAGTAAAATACTCAAAATTTTAAAACTATAAATAGTGGTCCAAAGAACGTTATGTAAGAAGCTCGCTCTCCTACGAAATACGCCTGCTCAAATCATATAGAGATAAAACCAAGGAGGAAACACCTGTAAGGAAAAGGCAAGAAGTACACAGCTAACAACTGGGCAGAGAACGAGCGTTCTGACTTGAAGGAAGAAAGCATCAAGCCCAGAGACGGCGCAAATACTAAACCTTAAGTTCGAAAGTGACGCAAATAAACCAGACCACAAATATAGGCGGAGACTGTTAGTAACCTCAGCTAGCTAGCAGCAGTCTGAAAGTGGTCAAACTTTTAATTTTTTTTCCTAAAAGGAATCGGAATCGGAAAAACTTGGTGGGTTATGTGGTCTGAATAATGCCGGCCGCTTTTACTTCCCAGGACTTTTACCTGGTATACATTTAAGGCTGGGTCGACATGGGAACCAAGGTCATTTTTAAAAATGTTCGGTATCGTCAGGACCTGAACTCGAACCTTCAGACCCACAGGCGAGAGACTAGCCGCCCCACCCTGGCGGCTCCCAGTTCATTGTTCACTTCTGTGTAACATTTTCGTTTTTTTAAATATTGTCTATCAGGGAGGAAATGTAATGTTCTTCTGCGTCTCAGTGTACAGATTCAATGTACGGAATGTGGTAGACATAAATGCTGCCAAAGATACACAACATTTTGATTTCAGCACTAGAAGACACAAACTCCCAGGCACTTGAGTGTAAAAAGGTTGTTGTGTCAGGAAACAAATTAATCAAACATCGTAAATATTAGATGTCAACGACAGAAAATAAAACAGCGTAACTATGAAGCCAATAACTCTAAAAGTCACCGACCTTCATTTTCATTGAAATAAATTAAGGTTCTTTTCTGTTATTTCACCACATCACCACAAGGGGCAGGGGATTAGAGTTAGGGCTAGTGTTAAATAAATAGCGACTACTACAAACCCTAACCACCCCCCCCCCCTCCCATACTATGGGACATTCTGGGGATTTCCTTACTAAATCTCGAGGGCCCCGGGGTGTGGTGAAATAATAGTGAAAAAAACAAACTAAAAACAGAATCAAATTAGGCCCCAGACAAAATTTATAAACATGTTAGGGACGCAGTCTAATTTTTAGTACACCATAGGGCATATGTGTGCAAGTAACATTGTTTGGTTGTTTCTTGCTTTGGTTGATAAAACTAGTCTATAGCTTATGGTGGATTTTCTGTCCAGGACACTGAGGTGTGCGGAGTAACGAGCAAGCTGATAGACTGGCTGCTGTCGCTCTGATGGGCGGTGAGCTACATTAAGATAAATCGAAAGTGGTGAAGGGTCTTTGTCATCCAGTTGACGGAGCAGCAGAACGGATTCAGAATCCATACATTGCCAGACTAAATCAATCTAACGAGAGGTGGGTGAGAGTCTGCAAGATATTTAACACAGCGGGTGAAAACATAGGAGGACTTTTAATCTTTTTGTTGCAACATGTACTATTAACTTATCCACCATTCTTTGTTTTACAGAAGAATGCTTAGAATACCTTGGACAGCCAAAAAGAGCAACCAAGAGGTTCTGAAAGAGGCGGAAGCCCGAAGACAACTTATCACAGACATCAGAAGGAGAGAGTCATCATTTTTCGGCTATGTTATGAGAAAAGGGAAAATAGAACATGTTGTGACCACTGGAAAGATCTGTGGAAGGAGGGATAGAGGAAGACAACGAGAGAAGATGCTTGACAGTCTTGTTGCATGACATGGAGGTGTGTCGGCACACGAACTGATACATGCTGCAGGAGATCGCAGATTATGGAGAGGCATGATCGCCCATGCCAGTCGCAAGGCACCTGATGATGACTCTTCTTTGGCTACTGTAGAAGGAGACGGAGAACGGGTGGGAATGCCCCGAGTGCAGGAATGTTAATTCTCCATTCATTAATTCATTCATTCAATTCACAATTATCGTTGCTGATAACCTGCCCCAAGTTTGTATGTTTCCGCCCTGTTTTTTCCCAAAAATCACACCGGGCCTTGTATTAGTGTTTTCGTCAAAAGACAACCCAGAGATTATTTTCATTGGGTGTCGCATTACATTTTTTTTTATGTACAAAAATCTACATTTTTTGAAACACGCAAAAATACATTTATTCAAGCACAAAAATATCCATGTTGTAAAAAATTAACATTTTTTAAATATTAACATCATCAACATACTATATTTAAATTTACTTATACATCCATTACTTTGTGTCGGCTCTGTGGATAAGTCGAGGCGAACGCTTCGTAATGCCGGGGTGCCAGGTTCGATCCCAGCTGCGGGTCATGCGCCTTGCGTTAGTTTCGTGAGTGGTATCAGAGGGCCGACCGTCCAGGAGCAATGACAAACTACTGGACGTGAATTCGCCTAAAGAAACCACACAACAGCCAGGGGCTGTTGGAGTTGGTTCTGCAACGTCCTGTAAAGGATACCCAACTAACCTAATCATTACTTTGTAATTCAACACGTGAGATGTGTTTTTCAAGCAATGATCGAAATCTGTCCATCTGACTGACTGTCCTATCTATGGCTAATGTTTGTGGTAAGGCTTAGTTTAGGCAGCCGCCCTAGTGTAGGCCATAGATGCTCGCCTACGGATCAGACGTTGTGGGTTCGAGTCCTGACAGAACCGGACTGTTTTCAAAATCTACTTTGGCTTCAAGGTAGACCCAACCTTGAATGGATACAAGCTACAAGTGCTGGGAAATAAAGGCAGCCGGCGTGATGCTGAATTCATCAGCAACCAAGTGCCGATTGGTCTATAAAATATCGCTCTAGCCCCAAATGTATAATACATGTGAAGGCGTGAGAAAAGGTCTTTTACTTAGGTTACCAGCATCTTGAAACATCCTATAGGCCTGATTGTCTGGAAAACACGGTGTCTCTGGTTCAGCATTATTGGTCTTGTACCCTCGTGTGATTCCCAACGCCACAAGTGGCTCACTTACTGCTTCATCTTCACCAACGCCAGGTCAAATTTGCTGGTCAAAAAACGTGTACTTAAGTAAATCAACCAGCGCATCACAATAGCGAGGCCTTTGGTCAATCTGCAACATTTCACATCTCTTTAGCAAAATGTTGATGCCTTTTAGAAATAATCTCCTCCTTGTCTATTTTCACATGCCACACAGTGATTACTTGTGAAGCTATAGCGCCAGAGGTCTGTTCTCTCTTCGCCTGGAGGGGACCAGGATTCTGTGACACTTCTGGTTATTATTTGTCAACAAAATCAAACGATATTCACCAAATATAGAGAGTTGCCTGCAGAGATCAACCAACTGTAGAGAGTTGCCTGTAGATATTCACCAACTGTAGAGAGTTGCCTGTAGATATTCACCAACTGTAGAGAGTTGCCTGTAGATATTCACCAAATGTAGAGAGTTGCCTGTAGATATTCACCAAATGCAGAGAGTTGCCAGTAGATATTCACCAAATGCAGAGAGTTGCCAGAAGATATTCACCAAATGCAGAGAGTTGCCTTTAGAGATTCACCAAATGTAGAGAGTTGCCTTTAGAGATTCACCAATTGTAGAGCGCCTTCTGTAGAGAATAATCCGTAGAGGCCTTTCATTTGTAGAACGCTACCTGAATCATCGTGTGTAGAGAGTCACCTGAACGCATTCATCGGATGTAGACATCCTTAGGATTTCACAAGATGTAGAGAGGTATGTGGTTCTTTAGGTAAACTTTAACGCAAGAAGTGCATCACCACCTTTCGTGGTGCACGGTGACCACGACTCTTACTGGACCTTCATATCTTTACCTCTGCGTGGTCATTCTAGAAACAAGTTCATTGGCCAACATAAGTAGGACAGACATCTGTATGAGGGCGAGGAACTAGGTATGTAAAACGGACGTGCACGCAACACCCAAGTCTTCGAGCAAGGTCACATTCCAGGCACACGTGACTAACCAAAACTTTTCGTCAAAGCTCCCCAATAGCTGGTGAATGCAGAAAAGGAGAATAATTCGGTCAAACTGATATTTCGAAGAAACCAAATAAGTGACTTGTCTACACAGAAAAGACGTGTGATCAGTTTTTGCGATGTAGAAATGCTGACGATGTTAAAAGTGGGTGTGTGATTCGTCCTAATTGTAAGTCCAGTGGTAGATGGGTGGACCCAGACAGACACTGGGCACAAGCGCATGGGACGGGCCATCTGTGAAAGGGGTGAGCTCGGTCGTGACCCGAGTAAGTTTGAGGCATCGCAGTTGAAGAGCTACTCTCAGACTTGTGCAAGGTGTAAGATGTGGTGAGAGCAGCTATATCGTGTGCTGTGAAACCAGGGATCGGACCTCTGATGGTTGGCAGCGACAAAGGCAGCAATGGGTTCACTATATGATGATGGTGATGAGCTGGGAGAGGCGCCATCGGTATTGTCGTGGGTGCAGTCGAGAAAGAAGAGGACGGTTCGCCTTTACTGTTCGTTTTGTGGGGAACGTTGTGTAAATGTGTGGTGCTGCTTTCAGCACATTTTGAAGCCGGCACGCCACTAGATGAACTAGAAGCAGCAGCAGCAGCTGCAGACAGCAATGGCTGCGTTGGAAGGTGGTGAGTGGTCGGGCGGGAAGATCCTTGGTTTTGGTAAATATCACTTACCAGCTTTTTCATCTCATCCAAAGAAGAGTTCAACATAAGAATGTAATTCTTGGCTAATAAGAGGGTGGCGATTTTACTCAACTTTCTCACGGATGGTCCGTGCGCATAAGGCATTACCTCCCGCAGACCGTCAAGGGCTGAATTCAGGTCATGCATACGCTTTCGTTCTCGACTATTAATTTTGAGTCGTAAACTTTGTAAATCTTGATCGTCAAGGACTTTGGATGCTATGGCTCCTTTCTTTCGGAGTTTGTGAATTTTTCGGTCTACGCTGTTGTCGCGCGGGTTGTAATTACGGGAGGAAAAACTGCTGTTAATTGTGTGGTCTGACAGAGTAGGACTGGCCGTGCTGCAGCTTCGATTATCCTCGTGGTCGCTATCGTCGAACTCATCCACAGAAATGAGCTTTTCCATGTGGTCCTGTTCGCCGTCGCCAGCCTCTGAGCTATGGCTGTGGTTGCTGAAGTCGCTGCTAGTGACGTCGGTGTGGTAAAAATGTTGCAACTGTTGATATCGTTGTTGTTCTTGGTGATGGCGCTGATGGTGAAGGCCCTGAGAAATGTTGCGGTACTGACGATGTTCCATCCTAGAGGTGGCCGGAAGCTCGGATCCACTGGTGTCTGCTTCTGCGGCCATGCTCAACTCAACATAGGAGGATAACTACAACTATGAAAGCAAGATGTTAACACTGGTCAGCAGAGTTGCTTGCCCATAGCAGCTTTGTCACTGTCCAGAAGGCGAATCGATTGTTTAGTTGGTGTTGCTAGTGTTCAGGGTTACTAAAACCAGAACTGAAGTGTCTGCTGACTCTTGATTCACAAATCTGACAGTAAGAAAGACAGAAAAAACTTAGATTACTATGCATACATATTATTTAAAACTCACATTAACTATTGCTCTCAAATCTATCGACCTAAACTGTGGATGACTAATCTCTTCCTTGTGTGGGCTCCGGGGCCCTGTTTGGTGGTCATGGTGGTGGGGTGGTGGGGGGTTGGTGGTGGTGGGGTGGTGGTGGGGTGGTGGGGGGTTGGTGGTGGGGTGGTGGGGTGGTGGGGGGTTGGTGGTGGTGGGGAGGGAGGGTGGTGGAATAGACCCACTTGCCCCCAAAGAGTGTAGTTCCTTTTCTTTCAGAGTCGTTTTGCTTCTGTCTGACATGCGTGTAACCAACAACCTAAATACAAATAAGCAAGATCTGTAAGACACAAATGCCCTAAGAACTAAAGTTCTGGAACACGGCTAAAGTTTCAAAGTGGACGAACAACCAGAACTTGCCACCGCAATTAACATCTGGTGAACGCGAATTATTATTTCTATTATTATTGTTATTATTTGTTTAAATATGTATGTATACACAGTTACGTAAGTTAAGAAAATTACCCTTTTGATGCAAGTAGTGCATCAGACATAGGTAATTCAGTCCCCATGTGGGACGCAATTTTTCATTATTTTAAAGCCCCCCACCCCCAAGCTGTGGTTGGGAGACCTAACTATAACCCTACAGGTTGAACAGGGTTTCTTAGACCTGTCCCTAGGTGATCATTTTCCGAACGGTGATACTTTGTGTCACCGGGTGTTTATCGCTCGGTGTGATGTCCTGCTGGGGTTAAAGCTCAGTCAGACAGTTGCATCTGGCACAGAGTTGTAGTCTAAGTCTAGTTAAAGACGTGAGGGTCGACTCTGTCCGCAGAATGGCTGGCCGGCTACCAAGAGCGTCACACAAAGCAATAATTCCGTATCTCCAGTGTCGATCCCATTGGATCTATGTGAAACTTGCATCCGTGAACTGAACCCTAAAACCCTGAAACGAACCCAAGATTAAGAGCGCGAGGCAAACAGCTTGACCACCTCGTCGTGTAGACTAAGTAAAGGTCCCTTTCTCCACGCCATTATTTTTTACTAGCTGTACCCGGCTACGCGTTGCTGTGGCCCAGAATGATGAAATGGAAAAGAAAGAAAATAGCTCTCATTTAACAGTGTCTGTCCTATTCCCCCCCCCCTCCCCACTCTCTTCGACCCAGTCATATCTCCCTCTCCGAAAGGTTGAAAAATCATCCCTGGCGAAATTACTAAAATAGAAATATTTAAGAAATGGAAACTCTAAAACAATGTTTTAAGCTCTCTCAGTTAATAGTGTCTGGCACCAACCTCCCTTGCCCCCTTCCCCACACCCCCCCACCCCCACTAATCATATTATCCTCTCCAAAGGATGGGAAAGTCATCATCTGACGAAATATTGTAACTAAATTGAGTTTTGCATCCGTGTCCACCCAGAGAAAAATGGATAGCATTAATGTGTACTGAGATGTAAATGTGGCCAGTGTAACAGCTACCACATCACCCATCCAGTACCACTACTACTGCTACCACTACCACCACCAGTTTCACAAAAACAACAACAAAAACTGTCACTACAGTCTGTGCAGGTCGGTGTAGCCAGAGGAATTAGGGCCACATACTGTCGCCACTGACTGTTTAGTTTGATATTGCCCCTGACATAAAAACAGAAAAAAGAAAAAAACTCCATCACCTAACCAGGGATGGAACCCACAGTAAAAAAAGTAAACTATACTTACAAATAGCGGAGAAAAATACCCCGCACCCGTATTCTCTCCCTCTAAGAAAAGACGATTTTTAATTGACCTTATCATCCGTGATCACCCAAACTAAACTGGACTGTAAGCCGTGATCACCCAAACTAAACTGGACTGTAAGCAGTGATCACCCAAACTAAACTGGACTGTAAGCCGTGATCACCCAAACTAAACTGGACTGTAAGCAGTGATCACCCAAACTAAACTGGACTGTAAGCCGTGATCACCCAAACTAAACTGGACTGTAAGCCGTGATCACCCAAACTAAACTGGACTGTAAGCCGTGATCACCCAAACTAAACTGGACTGTAAGCCGTGATCACCCAAACTAAACTGGACTGTAAGCCGTGATCACCCAAACTAAACTGGACTGTAAGCCGTCTTAGTTAACAGTGACTGTCATTCCCGAATAGTTTTTGTCCGAGAAGCGTCGTTGGGAGGCTAATTGGGACTTTACGATAATCCGACAGCAACGCGTGGCCGGGTACATCTAGTTATTAATAAACCGACACTATACGGATTCGAACAAGCGACCTTAGAGCCAGCAGGCAGGAGTCTAGCCATGGTGCTATTAAGACTGCCAGTAAAGCAGCAAACAATTTCTTATCGAATCCTGAACTCACCACTGTATAAACCTTCACCCACAGCGCATAATTAGTTTACTTTTACGGCATGCTTGTTGGGTGTGGCACTGGGTCTATCCCCCCCCCCCCCCCCCACAAAAACAACTTTCCGACGGGACGTAAAAACATGTATAATAATCTATGGGACGTAAAATTACATGTGTGAACAAATACTCAACAAGAGAACTTACATACACGATTAGGAACCGCTTCATCCCGTTACATTTGGGGGAAAGGGGCGTTTGCTCAGCCCATCCATAAACTTTGTTTTTATTTTGTTTGGGAATGAGGGTTGAGGGGAGAGGTGAGGGGAGAGGTGGGGGGAGAGGTGAGGGGAGAGGTGAGGGGAGAGGTAAGGGGAGAGGTGAGTGGAGAGGTGAGGGGAGAGGTGAGGGGAGAGATGAGGGAAGAGGTGAGGGGAGAGATGAGGGAATAGGTGAGGGGTGAGGTGAGGGTTGAGGTGAGGGGAGAGGTGAGGGGAGAGGTGAGGCGGGAGGTGAGGCGGGAGGTGAGGGGAGAGGTGAGGGGAGAGGTGAGGGGAGAGGTGAGGGGAGAGGTGAAGGGGAGAGGTGAGGGGAGAGGTGAGGGGAGAGGTGAGGGGAGAGGTGAGGGGAGAGGTGAAGGGAGAGATGAGGGGAGAGGTGAGGGGAGAGGTGAGGAGAGAGGTGAGGGCAGAGGTGAGGGCAGAGGTGGGGGAGAGGTGAGGGGAGAGGTGAGGGGAGAGGTGAGGGGAGAGGTGAGGGGAGAGGTGAGGGGAGAGGTGAGAGGAGAGGTGAGGGGAGAGGTGAGGGGAGAGATAAGGGAAGAGGTGAGGGGAGAGGTGAGGGGAAAGATGAGGGAAGAGGTGAGGGGAGAGATTAGGGTAGAGGTGAGGGGAGAGGTGAGGGAAGAGGTGAGGGGAGAGGTGAGGGAAGAAATGAGGGAAGAGGTGAGGGGAGAGATGAGGGGAGAGGTGAGGGGAGAGATGAGGGAATAGGTGAGGGGTGAGGTGAGGGTAGAGGTGAGGGGAGAGGTGAGGGGAGAGGTGAGGGGAGAGGTGAGGGGAGAGGTGAGGGGAGAGGTGAGGGGAGAGGTGAGGGGAGAGGTGAAGGGAAAGGTGAGGGGAGAGGTGAGGGAAGAGGTGAGGGGAGAGGAGGGTTACTGCGCTTTCAACTTGGAGCCACCTGAGTGCATTGCAACCTTTCAGCAACGTTTACCATTTTCTGAAGAACTTATTCAGTTCGTCAACCATTCTCTTTTCTTTACAACGCTATATATAAGAGGGACGATTTCTTTTGAAGTCTACTGTATTTATTGGCCTCCTGTTCAGAACAGCCCCTATGATCTCCCTGCCACTATACATGTTATGTGCAGTAACACGGTACCTTTCCCTGCTCCCTTTGTCATTTTCAGTAATTCTAGACCTCGCTTCGTCGCTCTGTTTAAGGACTGCTTTTGAATCTTAAACCGTAATCTCATCTTCCCTATATCTTTTGCTACGTGATCCCTGCGCCCGTCTGCTTCTCGTCTGCTCTTTGTTGTCACTAATTGTTTCTAGATCTCTGTGGAATCAATAGCTAATCGATTGGATTCCCTGCATTGTTCTTGGTGTATAATTGCCACTGAGGGTGTGGGAAAGGGTTCTAGAATTTCAGATGTAATGTGATTCCCTCGACGTTGTCTGACGGCAGCCTCCCTTCGCTCCTTTCATCTTGTCCGTATATCAAGAGTTTCACCACTCACCTGTTTATGCCTATTGTTCTAGTTTCTTGTTACACTGAAGCGATTACATTATCGTCTTCTTGTTATTTTTGTTATTCTCGTGGTTGATATTTGTGTTTTCCTTGATTTTGTTCTTTTTTGTTGTTGTTGTATTTGAAGTTGTTGTTGTTGTTGTTGTTGTTGTTGTTGTTGTTGTTGTTCTTCTTCTTCTTCTTCTTCTTCTTCTTTTTCTTCTTCTTCTTCTTCTTCTTCTTCTTCCTCTTCTTCATCTTCTTCCTCTTCTTCATCTTCTTCCGCATCTTCCGCTTCTTCCGCTTCTTCTGCTTCTTCCGGTTTTCTGCTTCTTCTTCTTCCGCTTCTTCTGCTTCTTCTTCTTCTGCTTCTTCTTCTTCTTCTTCTTCTTCTTCTTCTTCTGCTTCTTCTTTTTCTTCTTCTTCTTCTTCTTCTTCTTCTTTTTCTTCTTCTTCTTCTTCTTCTTCTTCTTCTTCTTCTTCTTCTTCTTCTTCTTCTTCTTCTTCTTCTTCTTCTTCTTCTTCTTCTTCTTCTTCTTCTTCTTCTTCTTCTTCTTCTTCTTCTTCTTCTTCTTCTTCTTCTTCTTCTTCTTCTTCTTCTTCTTCTTCTTCTTCTTCTTCTTCTTCTTCTTCTTCTTCTTCTTCTTCTTCTTCTTCTTCTTCTTCTTCTTCTTCTTCTTCTTCTTCTTCTTCTTCTTCTTCTTCTT